CCCTTTTGCTTCATGCGTGGAAGGGTTGAACTGGCCCCATGCTTGACCTTTGCCCCCTTGGTGAAAGTCCGCTTCTTTAGGACAAAGTCATAGTTAGCGGTAGAGTTCATGGCGTAGAACACATTGGCGTTGTCCGGGATCTTCAGCTCTGGCAGAAAAGACAGAGGATTAGTCGGGTGAGCTCTAGAGGGGCTGCAGAGCAGGCTAAAGATGTCACGTCCGCATCACTTCAGAGATCAGGCTCAAGCCGGGGATCCTAATTCAGCTCCCATATCACTAAAGTCCCACTAAATGAAACCTGCCCCATAAAAGCACTGATTAACTACTTGGGAGTCACTGCTAAGCTGAACAACACACATGTTCTAGAAGTTCCAGAGGAGCAAGGGAAAGAGACCGAAAGGCTATCTGAAGAAATAACAGTAAAAAGTGTCCCATATTTGATGAAAGACATGAACCAAAGGGAGCTCTGGTGGCCTAGTGGCAAGAATCTGCACTGCAATCCCAGAGGTATGTGGTTCGAGAAGGAGAGGCAATCTCCTTCTGTACCAGTCAGATCCTATTTGACAGTACACACACAAAAAATAATATTTTTTTTTAAAAAAGACAGACACAAACCAAGACATCCAAAGAGATCACCAGTTCCAAGCAGGATAATCCCAAAAAGACTCACACAGACACATCCCAGCTGCCCTTCCAACTAACCAAAAAGTGAGAGAAAATGAGAGAGGACTTAGAAAACAACTTCTGGGATCACAGGAATCATTACTGATTATCTGGACTACTGACTGGGAGTAAGCAACCAGCTGGCCAGAAACAAAGTGCAACAGTATTTCCAGTGCACTTTTATGGAGTGCGTGTGCACACGCGCACACACACACACAAAGTGCTCACAGATAATGAGGATTAACCCGCTGACTTCTCTCCATTTGGGGTGTAAGGAACTTGCCCAAGGTCCCCATGCCTTAGTTGTCTGGCTCTGAGCGTGTGCTGCTTCCACGGATTTGCTCTCTTTCCCAGTCTGAATACAGACTTGGGTCCTGTGAACCTCCACAGGGGATCAAGGAAATGTTTTCTGTTTTCAGTGTCTTAAATGCATGGATTCTAACATATTTGATTCCTCGGCCCATGACAGTGATGATGCTTTCAGATGCTGAGAGGCCAGAGCTGCCACTGGAGGGCTGTGCCTGTTAGCTGGGTCCTCTGGCCCATAGCCCAAGGGCAGAACTCTCCTTCTTAGCTCTTCAATGTTACCTCCCACTGTCTGGTTCTCACTCCAGGAAGGGCACATGACAGGTGATCCACAGGGACTCAGGGAGGACATGTGGGCTTCAAGAAGGTCCATGTGTGTGCATGGTGCCTCTCCTACCCTGCTGCATGTTTTCTGAGGACAGAGAGCCTCCAATCTGGAGCAGTGTGCACTGAGCCCAAACCCCCACTTCCATCACCTGATAAACCCTCTGACTTACTTCGATCCTCTGAGATAATCTGCACCAGTTCATAATCATCTGGCTCATCCTCATCCAGGTTGTGCTTGTCCATGGCCTTACGGATCACAGTAGGAGCCTTATCTTGGCTGGTCACCTGGAGTGGGAGTGAGAGACACGCCATCCAGGCAAGGGCCTTGAAGCTTGTTCCCAAGTGTGGAGTAACAGGACCCTTGGGAGCTGACTCAGCACTGGGCACAGACTCTCAAGCTCCAGGTGGGTGCACTAGGTGATGGATGCATGGGGAGGGGGGACCTCCACTTAAGAGAAAGGTCCTCCCAACAACTCCGCCCTCCTCCTCATCTATAGGAATCTGCCGCCATCCTATATGGACTTGAGGAGCGTGCATGAGCCCTAGGGCACTGCCACCCTGGGGCATTGCCACGCTTGTCCTGGTCCCTCCAAGCTAACAGTCTCAATGACCTCAAGGAGCAGACAGTACTGAGTCCAGCCCTATAAAATTAAGAGCCGCCCAAATGCCTTCTCTGCACCCGCCCGCACTGGGCTTCAACCCCCAGTTGTCTGGCACAGACCAAACCCCCAGCTGCCTTCACCCAAATGCCTTCTCTGCACCCGCCCGCACTGGGCTTCAACCCCCAGTTTTCTGGCATAGGTCAGACCCCTAGCTGCCTTCACCCGGATGGGCAGGGAGCACAGGGCTGAGACTATGGGTCATACTAATGGTCATTTCATTACAAAAGTGCCCGCTAGCTCCTGGTGTCAACAGGCATGCAGCACAGGACGGATGTGTAATGAGGCACCTGACTCAAATTATACAGCTGGAACCTGACCACTGTCCTTCTATGGCCTCCCACCTATGCAGCTTCTGCTGTTCTGCTGTCCTTGACTTAGATGTCCCCACAGAACAGCTGAAGTCACCCGCTGCCCCTCCTCTGCTCCAACTTCCAGGGGTCCCACTTCACTCTGCTCACAGCCCTGACAAAACCCAGGCCCTCTACACCTCTCTGGCCTCAACTCTTGTTTTTAAATAAAATTCTTATGTTATACTGGTTTGCTTACAAAGTCCATATGCATTGTTTTTCACATCAGATCTTTCCCATTTCCTTTACCGACCCCTCCCTCCCTCTACCCATCAAATTGTGCAACACTGTAATTACCATATCCTTAACTCTTAACCCTTGCCCCTTTACCTTTGGCCTCCTTGCTGCTACAACTTCCTTCCACTGAGCCACTGTTTCCTCTCTCTTCTCTTTCCAGTGAGACTCCCTTGGCTCTCCCTTCTCAACGTGAAATCTCAACCCCAACACCCAAGGTGCTGAGCACCGATCACCATCAAATCCCATCTCCTTTACTCCCTCCCAGGCTGAGGGACGCCCTGCCCACCCACCAGGCTGAGGGACGCCCTGCCCACCCACCAGTGTCAGCTCCGAGGGGGGCAGCGAGGCCTGTGTCACCCACGGTGGGAGCGACGCCCACTCTGTCCACTCACCAAGATGCTCTTGTACATGTTGCCGTTATCCACGTCCAGGCTGACACGGATGATGCAACAGTCGCCCACCTGCTGGTTGTAGAGCGGCAGTGAGGAGTTGTAGTTGCAGACTCCTGAGACAGAGCGCTTGTGGGTACGCGTGGAGGCCACAGGTGTGGTGGAGGCCGAGGAGGACGAGGTACTGCTAGACGCTGAGCTGATGCCGGAGGTCTCCGGGGACGACTGGGAGGCTGACTCCCAGAACTGTGGGGACAGTGAGGTCAGCAGAAGCGCCACTCCCCGAAGGGAGCCTAGATTAGTGTTTAGATAGGAGTGAGGAAGCTTCTGGAAGCTCTGTTGTAGAGCTGTGGGTGTGGAGTGGGGATGGCTGGCCCCAGGGAGGGGTCAACTGTCGGAAAGGGCAGGTAGTCACCTTCTTTTCCTGACAGTCAGGGGACTCCGGGACAAAGCTCATGTTGATTTCTTCCACATCCGAGCTGGAGGAGCCGGCGGAGTGCACACTGAGCACATCGGCTGTGTCCCCACTGCTGAGGTAGGGGCCGCACTTGAGCTGGTCACAGGACTTGGAGTGGCAGCTGCCACTGGTGCTGAGCTCCGTGCTGGGGGCCTGGCGGCTGGATGCAAGAGTCAACTTACTGTCCACCCTGCCCTCTGCCCCCAATTCATGGAGCACCATGCACTGTGACAAGTGTCCAGTAGTTCAATGAGGTGATGACCATTAAGCATCATCCCATTTCTCAGAAGAGAAAACTGAGGCCCAGAGAGATGAGACCACTGGCTCCAGTCACAGGGCTGGCCAGCAGGGTAGCTGGGTCCCAGCACCAGGTATGAGTCCCTGAACCCCTGGTCAACCGAGGATAGCCCTGCCCTGCCCAACCTGGCACTCACTCGCTCCAGCGCTTGACAATGGCTGTGCTCTTCTTGGCCTTGAGGGTGTTGCTGGCCGACTCAGACGGAGGCTCCAGTTCACAGGACAGATTGTAGCTATGGGACAGAGCAGCAGGTGTGAGGCTCCAGGAGCCACATTGCATGTCTCTCTGCTGGAGTGGTGTATCTCCAGGCAGCAGCTTCTGATGCTGACCCGTGGACACGGCAACCTACTCCTGCCTCTTCCAATTCTGGCCATGCCTCACCTCTCGGTCTCACTGAGCCGCTCCATGGTTCGGAACCAGGCCACAAAGTGCTCCTCAGGGGCGATGCTGTAATTGTTGCAGGCCGACTGCAGCAGCTTGATCTGGGCAATCACCTCAAATTCCTACAGCCAGAGGGAAAGACAGGGTGCTGAGAGGCCAGCTAGTGGGGAGAGGGTGTGAGGACTTCAGGTCTCTGCTATTGCCTCCTCCCATCTACCTGTCCTCAAAGTCCTGAGCCCTTCCTCCAGGAAGCCATCCTTGATTCCAAGCCCCTAGCCTACTTTTCAGTGGGTCAGTTTTCCCCTCCTTTGTGCATCAAACATTCCCCATAAATTGAAGAGGAAAAAGGACAGAACTAAGGAGTGCCCTGCCCAACTGGGCCTCTGATTTTCATCTCACTGTCCACAGCGAGGGTCCGGGCTGTTTACCTTCCTCCTCTTCTCGAAGTTGATCATTCTCCCCTGGAAGATAGAGAGTACCACCATCCATCAGTATCAGCACCCCTTATCCCCGCCCATGCTGCTCTACCTGGCTGGCCCACCAGGGGACACTGCACACACACACACGGGACTCAGAGGCAGGCCTGGCTCTCCCTCACACCAGGGCAGGAAAGGCCCTGAGCAGAGATCGGAGAGCTTCTAGCCCAGTCCTTTCTGATAACAGATGGACAGTCTGAGGCCGCAGGCACAAAATGACAGCCAGTCACTCACGTGCTGCCTAACCTTGGCAGTGCCAACTTCCCTCGCGCCACCTGGAAGGGCTACATCCCACATGGTCAAAGGCCCAGTCAGCTTTGGAGGCAGGCCACTCGGCTGCTTTCCAAACCAAGACACCAGGACTGGCAGCTTTGCCAAAGTTCTGTTTGCTCATTAGTAAGATGGACACGACACACCCAGCATCCAGGGCACAGTGCCAAGGGCTGAGAGCTCAGGGCTCAGCACCGAGCCCACTCCTCCCACATCTCAGGACCCTGGTCCCTCCCTGACCCCCACCCAGCTCACTCACATACAGATAGTCCTTCATCGCAGTGTCCAGCATCACCAGGTCCGTGAGGAATGTGCCAAGATAGGGAACGGTGCCCTGGATGACGCCCTGTCACATCGAGGTGGGGAGAGACTGTTCATGTGACATCAATGACATGAAGGCCCCACCCCTGAAGACTCTGAGCCCCTCAAGCTTCCTTGGTGCAGATTGGGGGTCCCTATGCTGCCTCCCCCAAGTCTCCCTTCTGCCCTCTATAGATCCCAATCTCCTTCAAGTCACCTCCCAGGGCGGCACTGGGCACATCACAAAAGTCGTGTGGCTTGGGTCCCTCCCTACTCCCAGATACACCTTGAGCCTGATTAGTCCAGGCGGTGGCTCATCCCCCTAAGATCCCAGCTGATCCTCCCAGGTCCCAGAGGAGGTCCTGTCCAGCAGAAGTATTTCAGGCACTGTGGCCATGGAAGAAAGGCTGCAGGAGGTGGGGCCCGGTCTCCTGACTGTGGTCAGTCCCTGCCCACCCAGCCTCACACACTCACGAGTTCCCTCTGCCTCTTCTGGGCTCTTGTGGGGTTCATCTCCAGCGTGGCAAACTTGGAGGTCCCCTCCTGCAGAGTTGGGATAAGGTCAATGAGGCTACTCTCCCCTCACCTCTGTCCCCTCCAGAGCTGCTGACCTCAGATCTTAGGTACCTGGCCCTAGTCGGTAGTGTAAGTGTTCCTGGCACCTCTGGTGTAGCGCTGACTTTAGGCATGAATCCCAGCTCTGTGTGTGTGTGTGTCTGTGTCTGTGTGTGTGTCTGTGTCTGTGTGTGATCTCAGATAAGTAGCCCGGTGTCCCTCCGAACCCTTTTCTTCATCTGAAAAGCATGGGTGGAGACTTAACCTCCCTCACCTATGCTCTCAGGAGCATGCAGAGGTCTATCAGTACCATCACAGTTCTCCCCACCCCCTGCCCCTCAGCAGATCCTCCACAATGTTCAGATGACACTCCTTTTCTCCCTAGAACCTCATCACCTGGTGAAGCTGGCACCCACACAACTGTCATTTTCCACATTTTCCACATAGACCAATGGTCCTGGACAGGAGCAAGGACTTGTCAGGGGCCCACAGGGAGTCAGAGGAGAGTTGCACTCCTCTGTCCCAGCCAGAGGCCCAGTTCAAGCTCCTGCAGTCAGTGCTGAGCAGAAGACGTCACTGAACTTCCCATCTGCACCAGCCCCTCCAGGGTCTCCACACTCAGGTTCTACCAAAGGCTTCACCTCTCCAAGAAGCTCCTCAGGCAGCTCCCCCTGCAGAGAACTACCCTATCCACCCTGGAGGGGTCTCCTGTCAGCACTGGGTGGGTATTGTCTCCTCTTTCATGTGGAAGCTTCTCAGATATGGTCATTAGTTCTCCAGGTCACATGTCCCAGGCCACTGGGGGCACATGAGAAGGCCAGGACATCTTTTCTGTGAGTCTGTGATGTGGACACAGGTTCTGAGGCTGAACCTAATGGGCAGTACGTGTCTAGGGGTGAAGAGGGAGGGGTCACAGAATGCAGGCACATCTGCCTGCCAGATTTACTGACAGGGTGCAGACAGTGTGCCCCTCCTTAGGCTAAGCAGTGTGGAAGCAGATAAGAGGAGCAACAGCCGTCTGGCTTCCTGAAGACAGGCTAGGCTGGTTCGGAGAATCCACTCAACGACCAGGAGGAAGCAGGAGAGGCTAGCATGGAAGCCAGCGAGCTGCTGATTTTGTCAATCGGCCTCTCCTGGAACAGCTCAGCTGCCACCCCCAGATAGATTCAATTACTGGGGCCTCCTGTCTCCCAACCTGCCCTCCGCAGGTCTATGGACCACAAAGAATCTCTCTGGCTCTCTGTTACAACAAAACAAGCCTAGAAGTTCTCAAATGAACTTTCAGGAAGAAACTCCCAATGCCCCCCTTGTCCCATAGACCCCTTCCCAGCCCCACTTTACCTTGATGAGCAGTTCCCGGCTCAGGGAGTAGTTGTTCTCGTCTGAGAAGATCTCAGAGAGTTTTTGAAAGATTCGGACGCTTTCCCTGTGGGGACAGCAAAGGAGAAAAGCTGGGAATGGTGGGGAAGGGAGTGTGTACAGGCCTGTTATAGGAACACAAGTGCCTGGACAAGTGATTTTCAAACTGGATTTCTTTGAGCTCCATGGAGTGAGGGAGGTGAGGGTTGCTGCTGGTGTAATTGGGGACCCCCATTCCATCACACATACTCTGGGCATGTTGTCAGGAGGGGTGAGTCCTTGGAAAAAGCCCTCATGCTGGGAAAGGTGGAGGGTCAGAGAAAGAGAGGAAGATTCCTTGCAAGATGGATTGACACAGTCATGGTAACAATGGGCTGAGCCTATGAGAGACTGTGAGATGATGAGAGATAGGGCCCGGTGCAGAACTGTTGTTCACAAAGTCACCACGTGAACTGGTCGTAGGTGACTTGATGGCACCTAACAACAACAACAGCACCCCCAATTCAACTAGCAGCTCTGCTTTGACTAGTCTGGATTTCAACTGGACCACGAATAAAGTTGCAATAAGAGGAAAATGTTAAAAATCTTCTATTTGGCTCAACGGGGTAATCTGGGGGTAATTTACTGTACTCCATAGGTCCTAACAGCAACACCACTAGTCTGGAAACTCGGGCCTGAGGCAAGATTACATAAGGAGACCTGGGCAAACTGGCTGCCTCCCAGCAGGTTCCCGCCCAAGGAGAGCTCAGCTCAGCACCCCACCCTGGGTGAGGTTGCTGACCCACGCCCATGCTCACACACAGAGAGGCCTGCCCACCTAGAGACTTCTTCCCACGTCTTCTTGAGGCGGTGGATGGAATTGCTCTGCAGAGCAGAAAGGACAGCATGGAGTGATGAGAAGTTCTTGAGGATTCGACACTCCTGGGGAAGGAAAAGAATGAGCTGGAGTGTCTGCCTATTCCAGTCTCCTCCCAGTCAGCTGACCTCCCTCCAGCATCACCAGGTCCGTGAGGAATGTGCCAAGATAGGGAACGGTGCCCTGGATGACGCCGAGTTCCCTCTGCCTCTTCTGGGCTCTTGTGGGGTTCATCTCCAGCGTGGCAAACTTGGAGGTCCCCTCCTTGATGAGCAGTTCCCGGCTCAGGGAGTAGTTGTTCTTGTCTGAGAAGATCTCAGAGAGTTTTTGAAAGATTCGGACGCTTTCCCTAGAGACTTCTTCCCACGTCTTCTTGAGGCGGTGGATGGAATTGCTCTGCAGAGCAGAAAGGACAGCATGGAGTGATGAGAAGTTCTTGAGGATTCGACACTCCCTGGCCACCTCGATCCAGTGCTCCACCACCCTGGCCCTGTCTGAGGCCTTCATGTTCCGGTCACCTAGACAGGTGGTGATGACGCAGTTGGCCACGCTGTTGAACTGGGTAACGGTGGCTCGGATAGTGGGTGCCAGGTGCTCCTTGCCCTTCTTGTCCCTCTGGGACCAGATGGAGCCCAGGCAGTGATAGGGCACCACCTTCTTGAACAGCTCCTGGGGGCGATGAAGAAAGAGTGTCACTGGCCCTGTCCAGTGCAGTCCACGTGCCCACTTAGTCCTGGGCTGGAAGTCAGAAATTTAAGAATGTGACTCAAGCCTTGTGAGAGTCTCTGGGTTTTGTTCTCTGCCTTCAGAGGGAACCCAGCACACCAGAGACCCAGGACTCAGTGACGATGGGAAGTGAGAGGCATAACCACTCAGCCCGTCAAGTATCAGAAGAGGGCAGTTTTCGCCACTGTGATGACATCTATCTGAGTCTATCTATCTATCGGGTCTGTCTCCCAATTCAGACGCCAATTAATTCCCTATGGACACTACAACCAGGGGCTTTGCTAGAGTATATGTCAAAGCATCTAGTTCATATCAGGTGTATAGTCAATTCAGAGGCTGGTGAGAGTGGGCAGATAAGTGTGTGACCCATGGGCCAAGATGCACCTCGGCAAGCATCTCCAGGCCCTATAGGGGCCAGGGCCACCAAGTGTCCTCTTTGTTTTCTTTTGTGCACCACATACTGTCCTATCTCTACTGTCCAGAGGTGCAAAGTAGAACTCTAGGGGCTCAGAAACTTGTCCTGGTCACCTAGTCAGTATGTGGGAGAAGTGGGAACTGGACGAACATCACTGGACTCCAGATTAAGGACTATCAGGTCTAGGGCAGCAGATGCCAAAAGGAAGGCCTACCTGTGAAGCCTGGCTACTCACCGCGTCCATCAATGTAAACTGCTCCGCCACCAGTTCCGGAGGGAATGCTAGAAGGTTAGGCTTCTCCTCACTCAGCCCGTTCTCCATCATGACAGGAGATAGGCAGGCAGGTTCAGGGACTGAAGCTAGTGTTGGTTCTAGTTCTGAAGCTGAGGATGGAGTGGGAGGCGGAGCCAGAGGTAGAGCTGGAGTTGGAGGTGGAGGTGGAACTGGAGCTGAAGCCAGAGCTGGAGCTGGAGCCGGAGTTAATGCTGGAGCTGAGGCAGGTTCTAGTTCTAGAACTGGCACTGGCTCTAACTCTGGAGCTGGACTTGGTTCTCTTTCTGGAGTTGGATCTAGTTCTCTTTCTGAAGCTCGACTTGACTCTTTTTGTTGATCCGAATCTGGCTCCCTTTCTGAAGTCAGTCCTGGATCTCTTTCTGAAGTCAGTCCTGGTTCTCTTTCTGCAGTCAGTCCTGGTTCTCTTTCTGAAGTCAGTCCTGGTTCTCTTCCTGAAGACAGTGCTGGTTCTCTTTCTGCAACTGGTTCTGGAGCTGGCACTGGAGTGGACACTAACTCTGGAGTCAGAGGCAGATCTGACACTAGAGTTGTGAGAGAAAAAAAATGCTCATTAATATGACTGTGTCTTTCCCACAGCAGAAAACCAACATCTCACTGTCATTTAGAGAAGCACAAGCCTGTGACCTCCACCCAAGGAATCCTCACAGACTGCTGTCCACCCGATGAGGGGGCTGAGGCTGCTCGGAGCTCTGGTCCAACACAAGCCCCTGGAAGATCCTGTCTGTGTGGAACAGCCCCGCGTCCCTTCTCAGACGTCCACACCCACCCTCAATCCTCACCCTCGAGCTCTGCCTCAGTGGGCTCCGAGTGCTCCAGCTGGGCAAGGAGGAGGTCTGCCCGGCGCTCCAGGTCTGAGCCAGGCATGTTGAGTTGCACATAGGCCACCAGCTGCTTGAGACATGGAAAGTCCGGGGGCTGACAGAAGTCCTCCGAATACTGGTCCAGCCAGGTGCCCAAGATGGAGGAGATGGCACTGGGGTAGACGGACAAGTAGCACGTCAGAGGCCTAGCTTGCCCTGCACACTGCCCTTCCCGGACACCCCTGTGTCTTGAGGTGGGCTGGGCCCCTGTGCCTATTCCTGACTAACAAGGGTTAGCTCCATGTCCTGACACTGAAAAGCAGGCTATACAGAGCCTCAACCTCTGGAAGCTCTGACTGACAGCCCTGAGACAAGCCTGATATGTCTCCCTTTCTGTCTCCTTTGGCCCCCTCCCACTGGACAGCAACTCCATGCGGGAAGGGAGGGGCTGTCTGCTGTTCATGCTGGGGCGCTGACACACAGGAGTAGCCCATGTATAACTGAGTCTGTCTTGCCTCAGCCCTCCCGGGGCACTTGCAGCATCGAAAGCTACAACTTGTGGGCCAGTATTATATGCACACCTGAGTCGCTTCATCCCTCTGACACTACTCTCCAAAGCGGAGCGGCACAGCTACCCTCAATGCCACTAACTGAGTACAATTGAGGTTCATGAGATCTGGGGGTAGGCTGCTCCCCACGCCTCCTGTTCTCCTGTTCTGGGGCTGGGGCTAGGGGAAAGGCACATGGAGAGCAGGGGTGAGCAGGCTGCAGTAGGGGTGGATTCTCTCAGGATCAGGCCTCCTGCCTCCCCTTGTTCTCCCCACACCCAGGCTCCATCCACAGCTTGCTTTCTTCTTGCAAAGAGGAAGCCCCCCCCAATTCATTCCTCTAGGAGGAATTCCAAGTTATGTGGGACCCAGGGTTCTGCCCAGTCCTCATAAGGCACAGACCCCTACTCTTCTTCGGGTCTCCTTCTAGACCCAAAGTCTACTCACTTTTTCAGTTGGTCCTCCGGTCCGCCGTCCTCATCGGAATAGGGGAGGATGCATCCGTATCTAGAGGAGGCCGTGAGGGCGTCACATCTACCGTACCTGCTTACGATGCCTAAGGTTACTGTCTAACTCCCCGACTAGAATGGCAGCCCAGGTGGGCAGGGATTTAGGTCTGAATAATATGTAACCAGAGCGCTCTGACCGCCTAGTGGATAAGGGGCTGCACTGCCAACTCAAAAGGCAGGAAATCTGAATCCACCAGCTGCTCAGAGGGAGAAAAATGAGCAATGTTCTCCCATTCAGTTTACAGCCCCTGAAAGCCCACTGGAGGGTCAGCTATGAGTCAGTTCCAGCTCAAGAGTAAGGAGCTGAGTTGTTGAATACACATCTGTTGAGGGAAAGAACCAAATCAGCACCTTTCCTGGTATCAGGAAGTGCCTGGAACCTCCCAGTCAGCCCCCAAGCATCCCTGCCGTGACTACACCCAAAGACAGGCCTCTATAGACAGAAACCGAAATCTCCTTATAAAAGGGAGAACGGAGGTCATGGGGTTGATGAGGGTGAGGCAGGAAAAATAGGAAAGGGCCCTGTAGCAGACTTTCCCACCAGATCTGGAGTAAGCTTTTTGCAGAGTTTATCTCATCTAGACTTTACAATACCCTGAGGAGGTTCTCTTAATCAATTTTTATTGAGCACAGAGACCAAGTGACATTCTCCAGGCACACAGCAGAGAAGTAACTGTGCTATGAGGGGGGCTCACCTTTTGAAGAGCAGGTCCAGGACCTGCTGGGTGGTGGCAAATGCGCGGTAGGTACACAGGAAGATGGTGATGTAGGAGAGGTCCCTGCCCTGGAAGGCAGGCACCAGGTGCTCCACCAGCTTCTCCAGGGTGCCTGCCTTGACTGCTCGCACCTTGCAGGTCTCGTACAGGTTCAGGGCTGACTCATTTTCATACTGTAGGTGGGACAAAGGAGGGGCAGAGTCAGCAGCAGCACCATGGACCACCAGGAGGGTTGGGGACTGGAGCTCAGATCAGGAACTCCCAGGCCCTCGGTGAATTCTGGCAAGAAATGGGACATGAGTGCAAAGAGCAAGAAAAGGGATCCACTTTCAAAGTAGAATTTGAGGTAGAGGAATGATGCAAATAATCAGCACATCCCAATCATTCTGTCAACTGAATAATCACAGTACTTTCCCATAGTAAGAGCCTAGGGTAAGGGGGGATTAATCATGGAGTTGTACAATTTGATGGGGGGAGGTGAGAGAAATTGGAAGAATCTGTTCTCAGAAACAATGTATTCAAATTTTGTAAATAAACTAGTATAAAAAATAATTTAAAAATAAAAAATTATGACTGGAAATCCAAAACCTCTGTAAACGTCCATTAAATAAAATTAATAAAATAAAGATGAAAAAGAAAAGAGCATTTTCCCAGGGAGTGCTCACAAAACATCCCTGGAAGATGAGAAAACAGAGGCTTAGGGATGTCATGGGGCTGCTCAAGGTTACACAGGTCAGAGCGCAGAGCCGACTGGAGGCTTGGTCTGCTCCTAACACAGAGAGGAAGGGTGTGGGCTACAGACGCCTGTCCAGAGCACAAGCATCCACTTTGCACTGCAAATAAAAGCACTTTTTTTTGTTTGTTTGTTTTCAATCTTAAACGACCTGAGCTATGGTGATCCTGCAAAGGGGCAAATGAACGGAGAGTCTGAAGTGGCAGAGAGACCCCACGGGGCTAAAGATCCGAAGAGACAACTCAGGAGAGAAACAAACAAAACGTGGCTCAGTCTCCCAGTGGGGTGACTACAATCCTGAGCTATGGTGATCCAACTCACAGCTGACCTCTGGAGGCAGTAAATCATGGGGAGGAGACTGCCTATCTTTCTCCCTTTTGGATCAGCTGGTGGATTCAAACACATTGCCTTTGGGTTGGCAGTGCAATTCGTTACCATTAGGCCACCAGAGCTCCCTCGTGGCAGGCATAAGGGGCCACGTACGTATCAGTCGGCTAACCATGAAGTCAGCAGTTCAAATCCACCAGGTAGTTCCAAGGGAGAAAGATGGACAGTCGCCTCTGTAAAGATTTACAACCTTGGAGACTGAGTCAGAACTGCCTGGAGAGTCAGAACTGGGAGAGCTACTATTTATTACACCTTCAAGTTGATCCTTCAGACAAGCAACCCCACCCCTGGGACTTTATCCTGAAAAAGGGAATCCTTCTATTAGATAGGACAGTATATTCAGCACTGCTGAAATGGCCACAGAACAGAGTCAGGTCCAGGTCCAATCGCAATGAAATACTGAATCACTATGGTAACCAGCCCTGCCTGCGGAATATTCTGCTGCTGAGTCAGACCACAGAGATTGACCTAGAGTGGTCCGGTGATATGTCCCACGGGACTGTAAGTTGCAGGGAAGCACAGATCACAGCATGAGCCCCACTCTTTTTTTGGTTATCCACAGGCTAGTAAGCATGTTGATTTGTAGGTTTGCAGGAGGTAGGAAATGACTGTCATATGCAGACAGCTGCCCAGGATACCTAGGGCCAGAGAGTTAAAACATGGGAAATGGTAGTAAAATACAAAAATACTCATGGCTTACAATGAAGTAAAAACAGTATAACATGCTTTTCCTAATGCTCCTGTAAATCTGGGAAAAGTGACTTTTCACCCAACTGCAGGTGACGGTGTGTGGCGGACCTGATGAGAACAGAGGGAATGGTGGCCACTTAAGAGAGGACACCAGGAAGACCAGGGGGTCACCGAGGGATGGAGATTCTGCCCTTCCCACACTCACTCCAAGCCAGAGAAATCACATGCACAGTATGACTGTGGGTATGGAGACCCCACTGTGCCTACGTTCACCCCAAGCCAGGGGGATCACAGGGCAGTGTCTAACCGTGGGCATGGAGGCCCTGCCATACCCATGGTCTCCCTAAGCCAGGAGAATCACAGGGGCAGGTTTGAACCTGGGCACAGAGAACCCACCCTGCCTGCACTCACCCCAAGCCAGCGCTGGCCTTTGTTGGCGGCATAGTGCACCGGCCCCTTCCGCAGGGAGATGGTGTAGATGACTCCGTTGACCAGCTCCTCGCCAATCTCCTGCGTGGAGCTCTGTAAAGACAGTGCCTGACAGTCAGGTCAGGAAGCATCAAGGGCCTGCCTGGGCGATGCCACAAGAAGGCATCCTCACCCAACTTTCTGCACCCCAGCTCTGACACAGACAGGCATCCAGCCTGGGTAGAAATGAGCTGATGGCTCAAATACTCAGAATTAACATCTGGGCAGACTGGGAATGCCCGTACCACATGCCTTCCCACCACACCATTTGTGACCTGGGATATGAAATTGTTATCCAGCCACTTTACAGATAGGTATGTAGTGGCTGAGAACACAGCATCCATGCTAAGAAGGACAAATGGTGCAGCTGGGCTCCCAAGGCCCTGACACAGTCAATCACATCCAGCAGGCAGAGGCCCCCATAGAGAAAGTGACTCCCCAGGACCAGAGGCCCCACGGCCATCCTCACACTTACTTCCACATCCACCCAGCCTGCAGGGCTCCAGTGCTGACCCAGCAGGAGCGAGAAGCTCCTCCGAGTCACCTGACTCAAGCCCTTGAGTCAGCATGATAGAACTGGGGCAGGTGTAGGGTGTCCCCAACAGACACATATGAGGCCACTTCCTTCCCCTTCTGCTCATTCATGTCCATGTGCCCACTTGGGCAACAGAGGAGTTCCCAGTTCCGTCAACCACCATGTGCACGAGGCAGGGTATGAAACGTGACAGTACTGAGGTCATATGTGGAAGGCTGCGGGTTCCAGAGAGCTCCCAAAATCACAACGCCTTGACTGGAATAGCTCTGTGGAGGTGTGAGTCGTCTGGTGATTCCCAGATCCCTCTGCCCAAAGGAAAGGCCCTTGTTCCAGCAGAAAACATCTCTTTCCACTGGACAACCTAGCCTGGAGGCTGCATGTCTAGCTGTGTCCACATCCCCATAGCTGTGGCTTCCCTGGGCTTTAGAGCCCCTCTTGCCTACTCTTTCCAGGGGAGAGCAGAGCTTGTAGTGAGAGGGGCTCTTGGTGGCAAGGGCAAACATAGCATCCCTGAGAGGTGCATGGTGAACTGGAGAGTGCAAGGCTGGCAATCTACAAAAATCCCAATACAGGGGGGAAGGGGGTGCATGCACGCACGCGCGCGCGCGTGTGTGTGTGTGTGCGTGCGCGTAGCTCAGGCAAGGAAGCCCCTGGTGAAGGTGCAGACTTGGTCCTGTGACCCTCTAGTGGTGTCTTCCCTAAAGCAGGTGCCTAGTGTGTTGTGGGCTGTACACGTCAGCACCCCTGGGGTCAGAGACTGGGATTCCAGCCGGCCCCTCAGAGAGCTCAGGGAGGCAGGGCAGGAATCCTCCTCCGGAAGTCATTTCCTCTGGCACGAGGCCGCCCTCCCACTCTGGGCTTCTTACCAACAGGAAGCCTGCTGAAACAACACTCCTGACCCTCTGTCTCCTCCAGAGAGACAACCGGGCCCACTTCTTGGAAGTCAGTGGGGAAACCACAGGCAGAGGTCCTCCTGAACAGCGCCCCTCGCACACACACACGCCTTGCAGCCCACGCTTGGTGGAAGTCCAGCCCTTCCACCGAGGATGGGAAATTCCTACTTTTGAAGCAGAAAAACCAAAACAGATGCTTGCTTTTCTTTTCCTGCCCCTTGCATGCTGCCTCTGACTAGAGACTTGCTTCTCACGGAGACGGGCTTCTGAGGCTTTGGTGACGTCCCTAGGCGGCTGTCCACCCTCCAGACCAGGGGCCTGCCCAGCCCAGCATCTCTTCCAAGAGGAGTCTCTGTCCAGTCTCTCAGGGCTGGTTGCCCCTCTAGCCAGGCTGGAAGGTCCTCGAGAAGTTTGCAGTCAACCTCTAAAAGGCTGCTGGTTTGAACATATCAAGCAGTGCCAAGGAAGAAAAGCCTGGCATTTTATTTCCAATAAAGAACACGGTCAAGGAGACCCTACAGAGCAGGTCAGCTCTAACACACAATTGTCACAGGACGGGGTCCACTGGACAGCAATAATGATTCTTTTGGCCTGCCTGGGGGTCAGGTAAAATCCCAGCAGCAGTTTGTGGGCCCCACATCCCAGAGGGTCCCCTCACCTGACCCCCAGGAGCCCAGCACTCAGCGATGCTGCCAGATGGCAGTGTTTCCTGGGCCCGGCTGCACAGGCCAGCCCGCAGGAGGGGCTGGACGCCACGTCCCTCAGCTTGCAGCTGAGCAGCTGGCCGGGCCTTGTGTGGCTGCCATGTGATCCCTGAGTTCCCCCTCCCGCCTGTGGCCCCTCTGCCAGCCTGGTGGGGGGCAGGGAGGGACTCGGGAGAGCTTGGGTCAGCGTCACCACCCTGTCTCCCAGATGGGGAGTTTTGGTTCCTCCATGTAACCGCAGCAGCGGCAACAGCAACAAAAACAGACCATGACAGCAACACACACCACTACCATCTTACAGAAGCACAGGGTGCTGCAGCTAGTGCCCTCAGACCATGTACACAGAAAGCTGCATCGTGGGATCTAACCCCAGCTGTAACCCCACCCCCCTCAGGGACAGAGAGGGAAAATCAACAGCCTGGCTCCAACAGCCTAGCTTCTGCACCCAGGGCCCACTGGGACATGACAGGCAGGGCCCTGGTGGACACAGTAAACTCAGGCTCCCTCTTCTCCATAAGTGAACAACAAGCAAACCCAGTAGTGGGCAGTTCGTCCAGGCAATGCTAGGCCTCCAAGGACACTCTGGCAGTGCTGAGGGCACAGAGGGGAGGAGAGAGGGGGCCTCAGAAACAGGTGATGAGGAGAAAATGCCTTCCCACTGAGGGGGTGTCCACAGCAGACACCACTCTGTGTCAATTACTGGGGAAAGAGTATCGTGCGGTTGGCGGTGTCCACAGGGGACGGATCCTCCTATCCAGGGCCCAGCAGGCACCCGCTGATGTCCGCAGGGCACTGTAACCCAGTCAACAGGCTGAACACATGGCTGTGCCCTCCACACTTCAAGGAAAGTGCAGTCCAGGCCCTGAGGGCTGGATAAAGGCGAGCTGGCAGGATGGGCCACTGGGATGCTTCCCCCGCCTTCCCGCTGTGCGCCTTCCCGCTGTGCCTCGAAGCCAGAGCCTTAGGACCAGGAAGGGGAACAGGGCCTGGGTGGTGTTCGGTTAGTGTGTCACCAGATCAGCCTTCTCACAGTGACAGGCCAGCAGTCAGGCTGTGTCCCCTGCAGAGGCTGCAGGAAGAAGCTGCAGGACAAGTCCGGACTCCTCAAAGCAGAACAATAGGGGCCAGCAGGGTTCTGACCCTACCCTTATTTTGGGAAAAGCCTTCAGTGACCTCCTAGAATGTCCCCTCCCATTATGTCCTCCAGCTGGGATCAGTCCTCCCAAGGAGACTTAGCCAAAGGTTGGGGGAGCGACACTGCCCTGAAGCCCCGCAGTCTCCCCACCTCCAGGCCATGCATGCAGCGGGCAGGCCCCTCAGGAGAGCGGGAGACAAATCAAAGAGTACATGACATCACTGCCTCAGGGACCTCGTCACACCCATTGGCCAGCTGCCCATGTCCACTGCGTCACCCAGTCAACTGTCAGCTCTGGGCACATTAGGCCCCTCCTGAAGCCCCACTAAGCCCTCATGGAGGGCTCTCCAGAGCCCCTCAGTCCTGGCCTCCATGAGTGCATCTGTGAAACGGGGAGACCAGCAGCAGCTCTCTAAGCAGTGACTGTGAGAGGATAGGAAGGAGAACACACACAGCTCGCCAAGCTCGGCGTCCGGTGCACAGTAAACCGTCCAGGAAGTGAGTGAGCCTGGTGATGTCATCACACCTGACACACAGCAGCTCCCAGGAGCAGGAAACCTGTCAAGAGGCTCTGCGAGCCTGGAGCCCTGCCACCAGAGAGGGCGAGGCTCCCTACAACTCTGGGCAGGCACACTGCCAGGCAGCTTTCTGCTCAAATGTAGAAGGCAAAACATGAAACAGAATGGCGAGAACTGCTCACCATCTATAGAATCCCAGCCTCCCAGAGCAGAGTACGGGTCCCGTGGATGTCATACTGCCTCCCCATTTTACAGAGACAGAAACTGAGGGTCAGGGTGAGAGTCAAGTAGAGGGTTTCTACGCTGAAGCAGGAACCCAGGACTTCTTAAGTTCAAGTCGGCTTCCTCCCTAGACCTCATGCTCCCACACTCCCCTGGGGGAGTAGAACAGTCCTTGACACACAGCAGGGTACCCAGTCCTGGGCTAGAGGTATGGTGCACTGTGAGCCTGAGGGCACAGCCAGGACCCCAGGAACACAGAGCAGCCTCGGAGGGAGGAAGATTATACTCCTGGTCCTAGACCCCATGGCTTTCAGATGTGCCCTCGGCTAGGAGCTGCTCAAGGTACTTGGATGATAGGGCAGCCAGTGAGCTTGGTGACCCCAGAAACTGACATCTGGGGACCAGCTTAGTTTAGCTCTGAAAATGGGCCAACCATCTCCCCATGGACCCTCTTCTCCTCCCAGCCTGAGTCCAGCTACTTACCACTTGAGCATTTAAAGAGAAAACAGACCTCCAAAAACACAAGAGGAAGATGATAATCGGGCCCCTATCCACCACTCACTCTCTCCTCTCAGGACCAGCTCTGGCCGCTGGGCAATCAGACCACCAGTGACCAGTGTGGAAGGTGCACAGCTGTTGCCAACTAAAGGGAAGCATGGCCGGGTCCCCCGAGGTTTGGGAGAGATGGGCTGAAGGCCCAGACCCCACACCACCAGCAGCAGCCACGGCGCCAGCATGTCGAGCACGCCCTGCGAGTTGGGCCATTCATTCACTCATAACATTTAAACCTCCCAGTACTCCTCCTGAATGATGAAGAAATGACCGGAACTTGCACAGGTCACAGAGGCAGGAAGTACAGGCAGTCTAGGGATTTGAACCCAGGCCTGTGATTCCCACTTCCTGTGGGAACACACCCAGGTCTGGCTCTTGCGTTGCCCAACAGGTGGCTGCCATGTGCTGAGGACAGTGGAAAGAACCAGCCTGGTAAGCCCTGTCCTTGCTGAGCCGAGCAGTGGGCCCTAGCCTGACCAAGCAATGGGTCCCTGGAGCCCAGGGCACTAGGAACTCCAGAAGCTTAGGCCTGAGACTCCTCTCACCATTGCAGACAAAGGCGTCCAATGCCAGGACCACTGGCATCCCGTTGGAAAGCTAAGTGGACCCAGAAGCACGTGGATAGCTTGTCATGCTGAGAAGAGGAATCAGCATTGTGCCCATTTTACAGACGAAGCCAAGCCATTCTGGTACAAAAGCTCTTACTTCTATAGTCCACGCTTTTGCACTGCTCCTTGGTTCAAAGAGACAACACAGCTCTCAATGTGCTTGCAGAGACCTAAGCACCAACAGTTTGTACAGCAAAAAGGAGAATGCCAGAGCAGCGCCCATAGACTAAAGTGCAGTCCCTTACTCCCTACCCCGATGTTCTCATCAAGGACCTTCTGGCTCCCATCCCACTCAGCAACTCCTGCCCCAGACTCCAGGTCTCAACTTCCACCTCTTCTGATTTGGACTAGAGTCGCTTTGCTGGGCCTGACTGTCCAGAACATGGTGTTTCTGGGCCTGCATGGCTAGAGCCTGAGCTGGAACAGGGTGGTCATGCCATGCAGTGCCACACAGTGGGAGCAGCCTGGGCCACCAGCCAGGAGGCCCTGGAAGCCAGATCTCTAACAGCTGGGTGCAGCCTCCTACAAACTGACCCCCTGCTGCTTTGGTGCCAGCTGAGGGCAAATGTGGGAACACCCCTGAGCCCCACTTCCTTGGCTGGAGTCAAGTTGAGGGGCAGCAAGAGGCTCCCAGAGCAGAGACCAGAAACAGCCAACTTCCAGACTGAGGCTTGGCTCTCAGCCCTGCCACTAAGCAGGTCAGTACCTCCCAGCACTGCCCACTCCACCCACTCCCATCCCAGGACCACACTGAGCCTCCCAGGAGACAGCCCAGCATGTCCAAGCATCTAACCTTCACCAAAAGGCTCCAGGCTGTCTTCAACAAACAAGGACTCACAACCCAGTCAGCCAGGCTGCCCCCTCTTCTCCAGGTTCCCTGGGAGTCTTATGGAGATGGCCAATCTCTTCATGAACTTGACAGTTTCTGCAGGCCCCAGAAACTGTGCCTTTGGAGTCAGGCAAGAGGCCCCTTCACAAATTACAAAACACGTTAGATGTAATAAAATATATACAGAGGCACATTACTTAGGTTAGATCACTCCTGTTAGGCATCCAGTAAAGGTGAGAATGAGCTCTGGGGATTAACCTGAAGACCTGCATACAGAAAGGCCAAGAGAGCAGATGACCTGGTAGAAGACTGGGCGGGGAAAGTGGGAGACACTCTCTCCCAGGCAGCTGCACCTCAAAAATTGTCAAAGTCAAGGATGACACGCAAATTCGTGAAGCGTTCCATATTTTCGACCCTGAAATGAACCAGTCTGTAACGAAGGCTAACTCCTAACTCCTTTCACCTACAAATTTCGTCTTTGGATACAAAGCTAAGTGGATAGTCCTTACGGAGGGACTGTTTAAAAAAAAAAATTGTCAAAGTGCTCCTCATCTATTCTTCCTCCAGGCGTTCTCCCTGCCTGGGTTGAAAACCCACCTCCGCCACTTATTATTAGCTCTGTAACTTTCTGTGCAATCTAACCTGTAGTGCTGCAGTGGTTTTATCTGTTAAATGGGTTATTAATAGTATGGTCCAGGGAGCTCTGGTAACCTAGTGGCAAGAAGCTGAGTTGCAATCCCAAAGGCACATGGTTCGAATCCACCAGATGCTCCGCTGGACATGGATGGGCGGTCTCTTCCTGCACCAGTCGGATCTGACTTGATGTCATACAATAACAAAATAGTATTGCCCTCAAAAGAACAAAGCATGCGAGTTACTTGTTGTTAGTAGGTGCCGTAGTCAAATACAATTCACAGTGACCCTATGAACAACAGATCTAAGCAGACCATCGGATATTCAAGACTGTCCTCCAACATCACAGCCAAGACGCATCACTTTTTCTTCTGTCATCCTTAGGACTAGGCAATCTGACCCATATAAACCTTAGATCACAGTAAATATTATTTTAAACCTTTCAGATCGACTTTCTTCCTAGAAGCTGTTCCACATGCCTCTGGGCTAAATTCCTTTGCCCTTCCTTCCTCTGGAACATAAACATCTCTGTCCTTTGGGCTATGGACTGTGCAGGGATACTTCTGCTTTTCCCCAAAACTGCCTGGCCCTGACCACTCATTTACAATTCCCTTGACAATTGGCCCTATCCTCTGATGTTGGTAGACTCTGCTCACAGCAAGCCCCCAGTGAAAAAAGCAGCCATGTCCAAACCCTAGCCCATCACTTTTCGCTCTGAATGCCTTCAGGCCAGGGACGTGGCTCCTCTGTCACTTGGTTTCCTATAAAGTGGGCTGGCAAGTACTCTGTGGGACCAGCTAAGTCCAATGGAATGGGCTGATGGTGTCAGTCACTAAGTGCTCCAATCTCTCACCTGGCTAAGGCAGTGGTCTGCCTGGACACAGAGACACGGAGTAGAAAGCACAGAAGGGGAGGTCTGGTGGCTTAGTGGTAAAGTATTGCGCTGTCACCCCAAAGGCATATGGTTTGAATCCACCAGCTGCTTCTCAGGCAAAAGATGAGCAATCTCCTCCTGTGCAATTTACAGCCTCCGAAAACCTGCGGGAGGGCCAGCTATGAGTCAGTTCCAACCCTAGGGCACATAACAATAATAGAAAGCACAGAACCTCACAGACCAACCTAGGTCAGCCTTGGTCAGGATCAAGATGACAAGCAGCTTTCCCAGATGTAGGATAACATCTGGCAGACCAGAAAGGGAAGGGCCTGGTGAACGCTTGTCAAGAAAATGGGGCTGGGGGTGGGGAAGCAGACAGTGTCTGGTGGTTTTTCAGAGGGGACAGGGACCACGGCTCAGCTCAGCTCTGGCACGCTACAGCAGCCAGGAAATCAGCCCCAGGATGGGGGGGAGGGGGGTGTTTGCTGGCAGGAGGGACAGGGACTTCCCCGCCCCCTTCCCCCCAGGGCCCAGGGTAAATGGTCACTGTGTTTGATTTCCGGCAGGGGCCTTCTCTCCTGCCAGGACCCTGGCTTTCCTGCCCCAGCCAGAAGCTTCCCCTTTGATTTCTAAACAGCCGCCACGGCCTGGATCCCAGCACTGAGGCCGGGTAAGGGAGGGCAGCAGCGACAGAGATGCAAGGCAGGTCCCTGGGCTGAGAAAGAGCTCAGTCCGGCCTGCATGGCGTCCCTAAATGTGCAGATCATCACCACTGAGACAAGAGAGAAGCGGCTGTGTCCCACCCACTCGGGCCAGAAACCTGCCGGGCCCTGCGTGAGCTCAGGCTGGACCCTCCCAGTACACAAAGCCTGAGCTGCTGCCAGACATAATGAAAGCCAGATGAGCACCAGGCTGGTGTCAGGACTCCCACCCCATCCCACCCTCCTGGGGGTCCCGCTCCAGCTGCCAGTGAGGATCACAACCCTGGGGAACAAGGGGCGGGGAGCATGACTGGCCCTGCCACCTGCCAAGCCCAGCAGAATGGGCACCCACTCCAAGAGCCCTGGACGCTTCCTGTCTAAGAGCTTTCCCACCTCCTGCCCATCTCTCACGCTGGGCAGCAAACACATTTTATCCTTCTGCACCCAGGCTCTAACCAACCGTAGAAGCTGATACCAACAGCATACAGTGATAAAGGGCTAGCGGAGCATCGGGGGGGGGGGGGGCCCAGCCAGCATGAAAGCCAGGAGAACCTCACTGTTAAGGCTTGGCCCCAGACAGTCCACACTTGTTCTGGACCCCTAGGCCAAAGGGAGTCTCAGCCCTGCGTCTAGGTTCCATGCAGAGCAGGTGACGGACACTGCCCAGCATTTTGCTGCATCTGCTGCACAGACGCCAACAGTGCATCAGACAGGGCCATCTCCACGTGACCATAACATATACTGGGCCCCCTCCCAGCTACTTACTCCTGGCCTCATTCATGTCAGGCACACTATCTCCTTTGCTTGGATCCTCCCAAATTCCTGCAAATTGAGGGTGTAGGTGCATTTTCTAATCAAGAACAAATGAGTCATCCCCTTGGCCTAAGAAGACCTTGCCCCCTCACCACCTAGCCACATGACCCAAAATTTTGGAGTTCTGCCCCTCCCCCCAGAGCAATCCTGAGGTCTCCCTGGTCATCAGGTGCACCTTGGCCCCAGGAGGGTTTTTGTGGAAGGTCACCATAATCCCCAATGTCTCTGAGGATCTAGGATCCTGACACCCCAATCACAGAATGAGATCTTCATCAGGGTGCCCATCAGTGGGGGGTACTGTTCCTTTTCCACCCCCTCAAGCAAGGTGAAACAGTACTCTGACCCTGTAGTCGGGAAGTTCACAGGCCAGTGTCAGGAACCACAGACATAAAAAGCAATAGCACGCGAGGGAGGAAACTCTATGGTGGTCTGCGACGCAGAGTTAGTAACAGTAGGCCACAGTATGGGATTGAGGAGGGGGCATGAAATTCAGCTCTGGTTTTTAAACTGTTGGATTGGGTGCTGGCAGCTCCCCTCCCCACATTGCGGTTTTGGAAATTAAGAAAGGAAATGGATTTCTGCAAAAAGGACATCAAAGCACCTACACTGAAGGAGGTGATCCCCTTCTATTGCTAAACGGAGTCGGCCTGGTTCTGCTGGTGATTTGCATCAAACAAGGGGCAACCCACCCAAACCCACCCCATCCCCGGGGCCACCCTGGCCCCACCCTGCCTCACCTACCTCCAGGCGTGGCAGATCAGGGTCGAACTGCGTGAAGCTGTGCAATACCACCGAGCAGCTGTCGGGGACGCCCAGCTCCAAGCGCACTGCTTCCCACACGCTCCGGCTTCTTCGGGAGCCCGGAAACAGCGACTCGGCGCCGCCCGCAGGCCCGGCCACCTCTCCCCACATGTGCTGCACCATGGACGGGTCTCAGCGGCGCAGGCGGCCGGCCGCCGCGCGGGACCCAAGGCGGCTTGGGCTCAGGGGGCCAGCCCGGCGCGAGGCGGGGGCGGCGGCGCAGCCAGCGCGACTTAGCGCTGCCTGCGCTCTGAGCCCGAGGCCCTGCCCCGCCGAGTTTAGGCCGGAGGCGGGGCCGGGATTGGACAGAAGGAGGGGCGGGGGCGGGGCCGGCGGGGAGCTGGGAGATTGAAAAAGGGGCGGGACCGAGAGGAGAGGCGGAGCCAGAGCAGAGGATGAGTGAATGTAGGAGAAAGAGTGCACTAGCCATGTAGGTGTGAAGAGTGATGGGTAGAGGCCCTGGGATGGGCTCCTACATATACACAATTACGTCTTCGAGAAGATACAAACACTTATACCTTGGAGAAGGTGCAGCCGGAATGCTCCTTGGGGGCAAAGATGATAAAGCTTTGTCTCACATACTCTGGACATATTGCTAGGAGTCTCCATTTCTTGGAGAAGGAGGAGGGTCAGTGAAAGAGAGGAAGACCTTGAATGAGATGGATTGTCACCGTGACTGCTGCAATGGGCTGCAATGCTGGAGATGATAATAGGACACAAGGTAGGACAAGTTTCATTCAGATCCGTTGTTCATAGGGTAGGGTCGCTACGAGTTGTATGGCATCTAACAACAAGAAACCCTGTGCCGCAGTGCTTAAAGCGCCAGGCCTAACCCAATCACGGGTGCTTTGAACCTGTCAGTTGTTCTGCAGGAAAGATTTACAGCCTTAGAAACCCTCTGCACGCAGTTGTACTTGACATTCTACCATGAGCACAATCTACTGGTTTGGTTTTTTTATTTGATGATATATATGTTGATATGTGATAAAGCAGCTTCAAGCCAGACCCCAGAGACAGCCAGGATTCCTTGAATACCAGTGTAGTCCATCCCTGTAGGTCTGGTAATGTTGCTTAAGCTCTCTGATTCTCTATTTCTTTATCTAGAAAAGATGGATAATGAAAAGTGCTTCCCCCAAGAGTTGTAGAGGTAGCTGATGTAAGGCACTGTCCTGGAGCCTGGCCAGTACTGGTCTGCTGTCCTCCTGCTGCGGTACACGTGCACTTAGAGGTCCTGAGTTTTGTGCTGTGTGTACTCATTGTCTCGGGACAGTTATCAGAGCAGAGAGGTGGAGAGGCAGCTGGGTTAGGGAGCTTCAGCTACTTCCTCCGAAAGTAGCTCAGAGAGGAAAGGAAGAGACAGCCTGAAGTTAAGAGCAGGGTCAAGAGAGGTGTTCTGTAAAATGGATGAGGCACACATGTCCACCCATCTGCTGATACTTGCCATAGTCTCAGCCCTTACAGAGGTCAGAAGCGCTGCCAGCAGCCCAGGCACTGCCTCTTGCCTCCCAATCATCAACCCCACATGCACGAGGCCACAGTGCTTCCATGTAAAAGGAGGATGCGGCAAGACCAGAGGACACATTCTGCAGACATGGTATACACAGCTACTATGTGTCTGTGCCAAACTTGAGTTGTCTGTGGACAATGGGGCCCAGACAGTTATATACAAGGGGCTAGAGCATCTGCCGGGCAGTTTTCTCTCCAAACTCTTGACAAAAACAGGCAGGAAATCATCTGGCAATTTCTACTAAAACACTAAAAATATTCATGCCCTTTGACCGACCAGCTAATCCCACTCGGAGGGCTTCATCAAGAGTAAGCAATTGAACCAACTCAATGCCCACAACAGAGCAACGGGTGAAAGAAACCAGAGGCTTCCAGGCGCCAGGCCAACACAGGAGAAACACAGTCTCACGCCTGTGATGGGCGATGACTGGCAGTGAGCATACACTAAGAATAGCAGGATCTACTTTATCAACAAAAGCAATGGTAGTTATTTGGGGTGGACATAAGCATTTTGTTTTCTTTTTATTCCTCTGAATTTCTAATTTTCCTTAAACAAATCTTTTCACGATTGGAAACATAGAATCAATGCCAGCGTTCCTACAGGTGAAATGGGTGGGTTCTGTTTGGGCTGAAGGTCCCTGGAAGGCCTTCATACCCTGCTGCTGGAGAAAGCAAGGTAGATGGTAGCTCATTTAGAGGAAACATCCTCAAAGGGCAGCAAGGAGGTGACCCAGACATTGACCCTCTCGCTCCAAATTTCTCCTCCAGCCCCTTCTTCCCTAGGCAAGCTGAGTGCCTCTGGGAATTTGGAACATGCTGAGTGACTGGGCAGCTGCCTGCCCCACTGTCTCCTTATCTCCCTGGGAGGGATGGGCCTGGGAAGCAAGCCACTGCCTGTTTTATAGCCAGGAAGGGGCTTATAAGGCTAAGTGACTCATAAGGATACACAGGACTGTATCCAATGTCACCACCTCTCTGGGCGAGGAGTGCATGGGAGGGTGGCCCTAAGAAAGCTGGAAAGGGGCTGGGCAGTGGGTACATCGGGTGGTCTAGTGGCAAGAAGTTGCACTGCAATCTGAAAGGCACGCGGTTTGAGGCCACCAGCTGCTCCATGAGAGAAGGATGGGCAATCTCCTCCCATGCAATTAACTGCCTCTGAAAACTCACCGGAGGGTTAGTTATGAGTGGGTTCCGACTTGATGGTACACAACAACATAAACAAATGGGTACATTAGCCATCACCACCTTTTCCTAAACACAGCTGACACAGCTCATGCAACCACCGAGGCATTATTTATGTAGAGAGAGCTCCCACTGATTACTTAACCAATCTCTCCAGTTGGTGTCTGTTTTCACAGACAGCCCCACTCTCCGCCTTGTTGGCCTCCCCTCTAGGGCTCCCTCAGTGCTGCCCAGCTGCACACCCTGACACACTTGTGCCCTAGCTCACAGGGAGGCAGGGATCACAGAGGGCAGGGTTCTAGCATCAAAGTGCCTAGGCTTTAATCGTAAGTCTTCTTACTCTTTGTCCTCCTAGGCAAGCCACCTCACCTCCAAGTCACAGTTCCTGCCTCTGTAAAGTGAGACTAATAATGAAGACGAATGAGATCGCACCAGTGAATCACCTCACACGGCTCAGTGCCTGGGGTCCTGAGGATCAGGCAGGTAACAGTGCCTTAAAGCAGCCTTTAGTAACAAAGGGTGGTTTTCATGGGTGCTTCCTGAGCACAAGGCATGCTCCTAAGCCTTCATGCCCCTTACCTGAAATCCTCCCCCAGTGCTGCCCTCACAGAGCACAGCGGTACCCTCACAGAGCACAGTGGTGCCCAGGCCAGAACCCAACCAAGCCCAAGTCCAGTCAGGCCTCTGTCCAGATTTGGGGGAGTCTAGAGGACAGAAGAACATGGCAACCACACCAAGAGGATGCATTCGGCAAAGCTCAGATGGTAGCAATCTCTACAGGACAAACCACCTAGCTTCTCCAACAAATTTAAGGGGGAAGAAACAACAACTGAAAGGAAACTATCAATTAACAGAAAGGTAAGCGGCATAAACGGAATACAACATGTGGACTTTGGATCATGTTTTGGATGCATCACTTCTTCAAAAACAACTGTGAGCTGGCCCCTAACTCTCTCTTCCATGATCAAAGGCATGGACATCCTGGTCAACGCTGTCAAGAGCATCAGTGATGCCAGGAAGATGGGCAGATGCCAGGTTCTCATCAGGCTGTACTCCAAAGTCATTGTTCTGTTTCTTAACCGGGGTGATGAGCCATTGGCAAGTTTGAAATCAGTTGATCACGGAGCTGGGAAAGTTACTGTGAGGCCATCAGGAAGGATCAAGCCCACATCTGACATGCACCTCGAAGACCTGGAGAAGTGGTGGGATAATCTGCTCCCGCTCAGTCAGCTTGATTTCAGCGTAATGATGACTTCAGCCTGCATCACCGTCCAGAGGAAGCAAGATGCAAACCCACAGGAAGGAAAATCCCGGGATTCTTTTGCTAGAGATATTGTTATTGTCTATTACTGTTGAGTTGGAACCGACTCATTGCTGACCCTCCAGCAGGTTTCGGATGCTATAAATCACACAGGAGGAAATTGCCCATCTTTCTCCTTCGGATTCAAACCAGTTCCCTTTCGTTTCGCTGCCCAACTCCTTCCCCATTAGGTCAGCAAAGCTTCCTCGAGATGTAACACGTACATAAAAATAAAATGACTCAGTGAGGGAAAACCCCTATGAGGCAAACGGGACTATTCAAATATTACTGAGGATTTGATATCACAGTCAGTGTTGGGTTTTTTTAGGTGACTTAATGGTGGTGGTGGTGTTATATACTGTCGAGTTGGAACTGACTCATAACTGAGCCTCCAGCAAGTTTTCAGAGTCTATAAATCACCTGGGAGGAGACTGTCCATCTTTCTCCTGCGGAGCAGCTGGAGATTTGAACCACATCCTTTTGTGTTGGCAACACAATTCTTTCCCACTAAGCTGCCAGAGCTCCCTGGCGTAATGGTACTGCAGTTATTATTAGAGTTACATATTAAGATATTTATGGATACAATGATACCCCTGAAATCCTTATAAACATTGTCTGGAGAGGCTACGTAGGCAGTAGGCATGGTAAGAGGTGAAATACGAGTGACCTGTGCTGATCATTAAATCTAGGGATGGCATCGGGCATCCATTATGCCCTTTCCTCTATTTTTGTGTAGAGCTAGAATTTATCATATCAATAGATAAACAAAGGGGAAAGACACAGTTTGAGATGCACCCTCTGATTCTCTGAGGTTCTCAACAACCTTTGAAAGAGTGTCACAAATCCCAGACCAACGGCTGCAGCAGTAAAGCCCGGTCAGCTTCAACACTGTCATGTTCCTGGCTCCGGGCCTACAGTGGTCACTCTCAGCATCCTTACAATCAAAGGGGCTTGAAGGTTTGCTTTGGGGGTTCAGGCAATATGCAACAAAGAAACTGGGTCCCCCTGCCTGTATATGCTGTCAGAGGAGGTGGAGGGCTGGAGGACAAGTCTGATGATCAAGGCCAATGATAATTCTTGCCCTTGGAGGGCCTGCTGGGAGGAACAAAGGAAACAATTCTTTGGGAAGCCTGAG